GTGAGCCACCGCACCCGGCCACAACTGGAATTCTTATAAATTGCTGGTAGGAGTGTAAACTGGTACAACCACTTTGGACAGTGATGTGGCAACCTCACATAAAGTTAAATATCTAATTAGCATACAACTAGTAATTCCACTTCTAGGCATTTGCACAAAAGCAGTGAAAGCACATGTTCACAAAAAGACTTGTACACAAACGCTTAAAGTAGCTTTATTCATAATGGTCCTCAAATGGAAACAATTCACATGTTCATCAACAGGTGAACAGATAAGCAAATGGTAACTTATTCATGCAACCGAATACTACCAGGTAATAAAAAGGCACAAGCAACGAATACATGCAACAATATGGATGAATCTCCAAAACACCGTGTTGGGAGAAAAAAGCCAGATACAAAAGATTATAAACTGTATGATTTCATTTATATCAAGTAAAAGAATAGCCAAAAATAATCCATGGATCAGAACAGTGATTACATCCAGTAGGATTGACTGGAAAAGGAGGCAGGAGTGAACTTTCTGGGATGATGAAAATGTTACTTATTTTGATTGGGGTGGTGGTTATGTGGGGACATACATTTATAAAAACTTATCAAACTGTGTCCTTAAAATTAGTGAATTTTATTTAAGACCAGCCTGGCTAACATGGTGAAACCCATCTCTACCAAAAATACAAAAATAGCCAGGCGTGGTGGCAGGTGCCTGTAATTCCAGCTACTTGGGAGGCTGGGGCAGGAGAATCACTTGAACCCGGGAGGCAGAAGTTGCAGTGAGCCGGGATTGCGCCACTGTACTCCAGCCTGGGCGAGAGAGTGAGACTCCATTCTCAAAAAAAGAAAAAAATTGGTGAATTTTACAGTATGGAAGTCATACCTAATAAAAAAGAATATTAAGAAAAAACAATTAGAAAGATGTTACAACTTTGATAGCATTTGTTTCTGAGGAGAGGGAGAAGGATTGGAAACATTGTTTAGGGAAGAGACTTTTTTACTGAACTTACTTTATACTGTCAGAATTTTATACCAGACACATATATTTTTGTTTTTTTGAGGCAGGGTCTTCCTCTATCACCCAGGCTGGAGTGTGGTAGTGTGATCACCGCTCACTGCAGCGTCCACCTCCAGTGGTCAAGTGATCCTCTTGCCTCAGCCTCTGGAGTTGCTGGGACTACAGGCGTTTGCCACCCTGCCCAACTTTTTTTTTTTTTTTTAATTTTTTTTGTAGAGACACGTTTGCCCAGTCTCAAACTCCTGGGTTCAAGAGATCCTCCTGCCTTGGCCTCCCAAAGTGCTGGGATTACAGGCGTGAGCCACTGCGCCCAGCCTAAAAATAGATTTTAAAAGAAAAAAGCTATTAAGAAAAACAAAAAAACAAGTCTGTGGATCTGAGGATGGATGTAACAGAGAACAGTCAGTACATCAAAAGCCATAGGATATTCAAAGCAAAGGAGGTCTCATACTCACAAGACAGAAATAATGCACGCTGATATTGTCTTTCTGAAGAAATTCCCCTAATTTTTCGGGATCCCCAGCTTCTTGAAGGCATAGCCAGCAAACTGGAAGAAAGGACACTCAGAATTTGGCTCAAGTTGACCATTAAGAATGGAAGGGAAGGGTGAGAATGTAATCATTCCTCTAAGTCAGGAAGGAGTAGAATACTAGGAAAAGGGTCACTTTGGCAAGAAGGCAGGTTGGGAGGAGGTCTTATTTGGTATCAATTAGGCTGTCACATAATTCTGGTTACAATGAACAAGTTGGCCACAACTGCTCACTTCACTTTTTTGTTTTGTTTTATTCTAAAGTGACTTGAATAACTTGTTTCTTGAACTTCAAACATGGTAATTTAAAATGACAGTTCCTGAGTCCTCAAGATCTTAGAGAATCTGGGAAAGAACTAGGGCTGGGAGAAAGAGAAGCAGCAAGTATACTGCCCCACACAGGTGGCCTTCTTTGCTGAGGGCTGGAGGCAGTGGCTGAACACAAGCTCCAGTCTTTCTTACCAGGCCCTGAAGACGGTTTCCTCTGGGTTACCCTCCTAGTCTTGGCAGATTTCCTATACAAGAGAAATAAGAAGCACGAGGTGTTCTTTGAGGACCTTGTTGATAACCTTTTCAACATTTCCCTTTTTTTTTTTTTTTTTTTTTTTGAGACGGAATCTCGCTGTGTCGCCCAGGCTAGAGTGCAGTGGCCGGATCTCAGCTCACTGCAAGCTCCGCCTCCCGGGTTTACGCCATTCTCCTGCCTCAGCCTCCCGAGTAGCTGGGACTACAGGCGCCCGCCACCTCGCCCGGCTAGTTTTTTGTATTTTTTAGTAGAGACGGGGTTTCACCGTGTTAGCCAGGATGGTCTCGATCTCCTGACCTCGTGATCCACCCGTCTCGGCCTACCAAAGTGCTGGGATTACAGGCTTGAGCCACTGCGCCCAGCCAACATTTCCCTTAAAATGCCATTCATGGGTCTGATGAAGGACCAAAATATCTAAAGCCTAAGATATCAGCTTATTTTCCTATTTCTCATATATATATATATATATATGTTTTTTTTTTTTCTTGAGACAGTCTGGCTCTGTTGCCCAGGCTGGAGTGCAGTAGCACGATCTCAGCTTACTGCAACCTCCGCCTCCTGGGTTCAAGCAATTCTCCTGCCTCAGCCTCCCGAGGAGCTGGGATTACATGCACCTGCCACCACGCCCAGCTAATTTCTGTATTTTCAGTAGACACGGGGTTTCACCATGTTGACCAGGCTGGTCTAGAACTCCTGACCACAGGTGATCCACCTGCCTCGGCCTCCCAAAGTGCTGACATTACAGGCGTGAGCCACTGTACCCGGCCATATTTTGTATTTTTTTTAAAGTGCAAAACATACTCTCACTGAGTTATTTGAGGGCAGGAACCAGACTGTAAGCATCTCTCTCTCCCCAGTGCCTGTTCTGCCTATGTTGCAATTAATGCAAGAGTAAACCCCCTTTTACTTTTTTACTGTTTCTTCTGTCAACTATTCTGAATCTCAGGTGGTACCAGCTTTACAAAGCATACTAAAATGAACCAAAATTGATAAAAGTATTTCCCATTGTGAGGCACTATGCTTAGCACTTTACATGTATTGGCTCAATTAATCTACAGTAGCTCAATGAATCTACAGAACACTCTAAATACCATTATTATGTACATTTTCCAGATGAGGAAACTGAGATATAAAGAAACGAAGTGACTTCTGTCACAGTTGTTAGCAAGTGGCAGAGCTAGGATATGAATCTGGGTAGTAAGGTTCCAGAGTCAGCATTTTGCTACTAGGGACAGCACTGATAAGACAGGTATGACAGCTCCCAGCTCCCAGTGTATGCTTCCACACTGTCCAACCCCAACCCCCAAGACTATGACAAAGGGGGCAAAAAGTGCAACCTATACCACAAGCCATTGGACAGTTTCTCCCAAACTCCCTATGTCAACTCCTTCTACCTCAATCTTTGGCGTTCCTTCTTTTCTTTTAGAGTCTTCATTCGCTGCTGTCTCTTTCTCCTATCTTGAATTCTTCTATATTATTTTGAGGACAACACAGGCTCTTCCAGCTATAAATATAAATGGGGTTTGGTAAGCAATTTAATTCTGTATTTGGTTATCAAGTTCCCCAGGGTCAAGGCAATGGTGCACTTCACCTCCCAACCCATGTGATGGAATAAAAGGTACTGTTCTAGGTACTTGACGTGTTAAGTCACAAAAACGCCATGCAATAGGTACCATTATTATCCCCATTTTCAAGATGAGGGGACTGAGACACAGGTTTAAGTATCCTGCCCAAGGTAAGAGTTAGTAAGTGATATAGGTAGGATTTGAACTCAAGTAGCCTGGCTCCAGAGGCCAACACTAACTCTCATGTTATACTGCTATCACACAGTAGCAAAAGAACTTAGAACCATTACTTGACCTAGCTAAATGGTTCTTTGTGCCTACAAAAGCACACATGAAGTAGCACTCAAGAAAAAAAGGCTCCTTTTGCACCTAAGTATGGGTGCCTTAATTCTACCCAGTAAAAGCTAGATAAGGTAGCTTTTTCCTAGGCAAAGGAGCCTGTGAGATTCAGGCTGCCTAAAAGCAAGAACTCCCTCTAGTGAGAGACAAGAGGTAACACTGACAAAACCCTCTAGGCTCTATCATTATTATTTTTTTTATTTTTATTTTTGAGACAGGGTCTCTCATTGTTGCCCAGGCTGGAGTGTAGTGGGTGAGTGCGGGAAAGTGCCACTTTCCTAGGCTCAGATGATCCTCCTGACTCAGCCTCCCAAATAGCTGGGACCGCAGGTGCCATGCCACCGCACCAGCTAATTTTTTTGCAGAAACGGGATTTTGCCATGTTGCCCAGGATGGTCTCCAACTCCTGGGCTCCAGCGATCCTCTCGCCTCAGCCTCCCAAAGTGCTGGGATTACAGGTATGAGCCACCAGGCCTGGCCTCTCCTATCAATTCTTTTCACCTAGGCTCAGGTGGCCACTGAGATATGGTTTGTTCCCAACTTTTGTCTCCATCTGAGCCGAGTACAATAGCCAAAGTGCAGAAGGTACCTTGTCTATTTCCAATGTCAGCCAACTCCGGCTGTTACCTGTTTTCATTAGTAAACAAACTGTAAAACAAATGTACAGTTTCACCGGTTAAGGGGGAGATCCCTGAAAGTGAAGGGGAACTAAAGAAAGAAAATCCACTGCTGTGAAGAAAGGACTGTCTAGTCAGGGGAGAGGAGAAGGACAGCATTTCTTAGAAGGAGCGCTGGGTGAATCAGGTCACTCCAGAGACACTCCAGTATCCATGGCCTCCGATCACCACTGGAGATCGGGAATATCTTCAGGGACTGTATTCTGCATGAATAAGGACGACTGAGGAAATTACTGTTCAAGAAACCAAAGCCACCCTGCCCTCCCCTTCTTTGTACTTGTTCTGTCTCCTCCTCTAATCCATGAGTTGCAGAAGCAATCACATCTGATGGCTTCTTCCTCAAGGAAAACATTGGACAGGCTGGAAGAGGAGAGAGAAGAGCATGTCCTGACCTTGCTATTCCCACAGGGGTCCATGTGAGCGGACTGCGGAGCAGTTCCCAGTTACTGGGGCTACCCCGACCATCCAGCAATAGAAATAAAACCTTGAAACTTCAGTTCTTTGCATCGCTGGGCCAAGACGTTCCTTGAGTAGGATTCTGTGCACACACTGCTAGTTACAAGACGTTACGATCATCTGAAGGGGGGCGTTGCAAATACGGCTTCCACGAGCTGCCAGGCAGTGGCCTCCTAAACCGGCGGACGCTCCTCGAAACGCTTATCAAGTTGTTTCACTGGACAGGTGCTGGGTAAATGCTTGTTGAGAAAATCAAAAATAAATAAACGCGTTCGACTCGCCGCGGCAAGAATGATTTATTTGTAAAATACGTGTCGGTGTGATCACGAAACCGTTCCCGAGGTTCACAGCCGGAGAAGGGGCTCAAGGAGCATCCCGCGGATGCCAGACCAGGCTCATGTCGTGCCTGCCGGACGGCTAGTGCAGGGCCGGGCCGAGGTCGCCTCCGCCGCTCCTCCTCGCGGTAGCTCACCGGCCGCCGCTCCCGGCCAGAGCCACCCTCCCAGCTGTCTCTGAGGGCGCCGCTGTACCGGAGCTTTAGTCGTTGACACAGGCCGTGGTAGCTACCTCCGGGCGGCCGCCCTGCGCGGTGACTGCGCCGGCGAAGACGGCGAGATTGCAAACGGGGGCGGGTCACGCGGACTGTGACCCTCGGGAACCGCGGCAACGCCTACG